TTGAAAACAAAATTATTATTTAAAAATGTACGTAACTGTGCAAAGATTTGTATCATTCCCCGAGCAAAATTAAAGCTTTCAGCCGTATTTAATACTTTGTGGTTGTTATTTTTGTGAAAAATTAATATTTTGTGAAAAATTAAATTGTAGTATTTTTATTAGTGAATTATTGTTATAGCCATATATTGGTACATACCCGATAAATTAGAAACATATGCGTTTTTCAGAAAAAAATTATTGTGTTAAATTTATATCTAATAGCAATGAAGATGTATTTCTGTAACTCTAATGACACTTTTCAACTGTATTAATGTCAAAGATCCCGCAGCTTATTTGATCGGAATCATTAGCCGATGAACGAACGAAGTCCCATAACACTTGACCTGCATCAAGTCATACGTTAAATAATGGCATCTTGCCGGAGGAATCGGGTCAGCTTATCGAATTACTTTTTCTAAAACCGATATATCCGATCAATCTAAAAAGAGTGCAACATTTAACGGCGTTCGATCCGCAATGGCTTAACATCGTATGTGTAACATTCCGCCGAGAAGGTAATTGAAACAAACCGTTTGGAACGTATTAGCCGCCTGAACGAACGCTGCCCTAATGCAACCCGATGTTATTGGTGGTTTGGGATCAATATGTGCCAATGTTGTGGTAGCCATGTGGATTTCATTACCCTAATTTACGAAAAGTTCGAAAAGTATAAAAGATTTTATTAAAAGAAAAATCAAATATCATCATCGATTTCCTTCTCGTTTCTATACTCGCATGTAAATTACATATTCAATTAAACATTTGATATAATATTAGAATTGAGTAAACAATTTGTCATATATAACTAGTTGTATGTATAGGAAAAACTGAAACAAATGGCAATTTGCTTTCTAGTCTAATTCTTATAATTAAGCTTTCATACGCCGGAACAGTTCTGAAATACTACCTTGCATCCTGGATTTTTCTTCAAGCGAGATTTGTCCTTGATTCAGGTTTTTTGTTGCGTCTTGCCACTCTTATTAACTTTCCGTAGGGTAGTTATAGTAATAAGTCGAAAATCGGAAATGAAAATTTTTGCATATCTTCACGTTTTGAATGTTTCTGAACATTTTGGCATACCTCGGAGAAAATGGATGTGTATGTGTGTGTTTTGTGTGTCCGCATTTTTTGTTCACGTTTTTGGGCGCACGGATCAACCGATTTGAATGGTTCAAAAAAACATTCGATTTCTATTGATAAGGAGATGTGCTGATTAGTTTTTGGCAAAGGCAGGTTCAGTCAGTACGGAGATACAGAGTAAAGAGTGCGGAAAATAGAAATCGAGATTTTGAGAGAACGGGGCATCCGATTTGAATGAGTAAAGAAACTTTCCGCTTGTTTTAAACAAATAATTGCTTTTGGAAAAAAAATGTTTATTTTTTTTCAGAATTTTTTGTTTAATTTTTTTTTTTTCAATTTTTTTCAAAATTTTTTTTTGCATATCGAAAATAATTCAAATTTTCTAAATCTAAAGCTCACTTACATACTTTAAATAAATAATTTTAATACAGTTCTGAAATTCTACCTTGCATTCTGGATTTTACTGGATTCAGAAATTCTACCTTGCACCCTGGACGAGATTTGTCTTGGATTCAGACTTTTTGTTGCGGTTTGTCCCAATTATTAGAGTTATTTTTAGAAAATATGAACCGAAAAGTCTGTACATATCAAATAACACGATCTGAAATAGACACACCATAAATGATATTATTTACTGTGGTTAATATATAATAATAAATATATAGGGTAGAGCGGGACTTAAAGATCCGCGGGTAAAATGGTCCATCATTCTTTTGAAAATAACATTGAAAACGCCTAAATTTTTGCGACGTCTCTATCAGGACATGTGTAAATATTCATACCAATTTTTTTTGTAGCAGTTTTTTATGGTTTTTAGCTCATGTATTTACTTTATGATTCCTGGATATAATTTTTATGTATACATTATTTAATTTCTTTATTAGGTGTATTACTGTTTATAAGTTAGATTCAATAGAGTTCTTTATGTAATCTATAAAAGGGCTTCCATGAGGGTAGGGTAATAATTTTTTTTAAAAAAAGTTAAAATGAAAAAAAAACAGTAATACAAAAATAATAACATAAATGAACTATGACATGATGATGTATGCCGCGTACTAAGTCTGGGTAAAAATGACCAACTAAACCTTTTATTGGCAAAAGTGTGAACAATAAGAAATAGTACATAAAAAAGTAAATTAAGTTAAAAAAGCAATTAATAGTTGTTCGACCTCTGCTAATGAATATTGCTTTCGAAATCAGGTTTAAGTTTATATACTGTTAAATTTTTGTAAAAAATGTTTCCATAAAATTTCTGTTTCACATTGGCTAAATAATGCACCTATTTAATTCATAAAATTCTTTAAAATGCAAGAGACGTTGAATAGTTAAATCCCCCTGGCTTCTCCCGCTCATGAGGCAAAAAGAGACATATTACAATTTTTAGAAAAATAGTAAGCGAACATAGTTTTATAATTAGAAGTTAACTTGGAATTTCACTGAATATAGTTAAATAGTTGTTTGTTTGATATATGTTATGTATTGTCAAGTCATTCATTTAGTTTAGACAGCATAATGACTAAAAGTCAAATTGGACCTTTGTGCCCCGTCCTACCTTATATATACATATATTACACTTTCGTTTTCACAAATCCTATTTCTTTCTCCTGCAAGTCCTTTACCATCTCCATCCTTCTTAGCCCAGTCTCTTTCTTATAAGAAGCACCCTTTTTGCTACATTAGTCTAAACCGATTTTGTTTTGTGTCCAGTAAGGATCTATCTTTGTCCATTCTACGGAGTAGTAATTTTTTGGCGGTCGATTTAATCTTTTCATTTTGCTCCACCATTACATTCAGTTAATCCGCCTATCAAAAACAAAACATATTTAATGAACCGATATGATCAATGAAAACAATCAAATGCGTTTATTGACTTGTTTTATAATATTACCTTCCGATAATATTTAATTTATGCTCAAATGATGTATGAACTGTTTTAACTATTACTAATTATGCTTTTAATTACACATAAATGCATGGGGATCAAAGGGTTTATTGAGAGTAATTGATAATTCCGTTATGTAAGCGAGCTTTGAATATATTGTTGATACAATGCAAAGCATTTTTGATTTATTATCAAGTTATATATAAATGGGATGCGATAATGTATCGAAAACAATTAAAAGCTACGCCTGTACAATCGTATGCATATGTATGACTTATTGATAATTATTAATTCGTTGACATGACGTGTTTGCAAAATGATATTATACGCAAATTTCATGTTTTGACGCTCAAAGGAGTATTGATATTACACCTAAAATATTTTGAATTTCATTATGTTCCTATGGACAATAAAATGTAAAATTAATTAAGTAAAATGTAAATCATTATAATTATAAAACATAAAAATTTTATTAGAATAGAAAAACATAACATTTATTCAATTATTTTTTTATTTAACATTACATAATATAAAAATCATATCATATATAAACTATAAAAACTAAATCCAGATTTGACTTTATTTCTCTCGCGAAATCATCAGCCGCAGTTCGGTCAAACGTTATTAAAATCTTAATGAGAATGAGAGATCAATAGAATGAGGAGTTCAATCAATTTCACAGTTGAAATACTTTCACTAGATAATAGGTATGTGTTATATATGTATATATACATGCATGCATATGTATATTTCGTTCTATAAATAAAAATTAAAGGTATAAAATTTTTACACAAATTAAAATTAGAAATCTGCAAGCAAATGAGATTGGGAAAAATTGACCTTTTTGATACATTTTCAAAATTTGTGACACATGTCTTTCAAAGTAGGGGGAAATCCCGTAACGCCGGACGGCACCCAACGCCGGACACTCAATTCAACACGTATTATTAAGCGAGTATAAATCTTTTTATTACAATATGTGTAAGTAGATGGTAAAAGATGTATAACCAGCCAACATTACCGGGAGATAAACGGCAATGTTTGAAAATCCATAACGAAAGTATTTTTTTCCTTCCTGAATAATACAGCTATCATTTTGTAAAATCTCTTTAAAATTAAAAATAAGGCATTGGACTTGTTTTTGTTCTAAGCATTCCATTTTAAAGCGCCTACGGGGTGAACGGGTCCAGATTCTAAATTAAAAAAAAAAAAAAACAGCAAAAAACACATTTTTACAATGATGAATTAGCTGGAAGTTTTACTGAAAATAGTCAGATATTTGTTTGTTTATTATGTGTTATTTGTTGTGATATAATTGGTTTGATTTTCAAAATACAATTGCCATTAAAAAGTCAAATGGGACCTTTGTGCCCCGCCTTACTCTGAAATGCTTCTTTTTAATCGATTCATTCTATTTATCAATCATTGTTGGAAGTTAAATATTTGGAGTAGATGAATTAACCACTGAATTAACACAAATAACCATATAGGTTAGCTCGTAATACAAAAAATGACTAAATCGAAAGTATAGAGAATGTTTAATAAATCATGACATTTCTTTTTCCTTTCATGATTTTATTTCGCAGTGTCTGGCTTCTTACTAAAATTGTGAAGTCTCAGTGCAACCCCACTTTTCAGACAACTAAGCAATAGTGATACCTATTTTTATTCGAAAATATATTTGTGAATATATTTCCAAGTATGAATAGGTCTTTCCGACATTATTGCATTGAGCTAAATACATATATCATCACTATTAGAATAATTTTAGTAAAAAATATATACCAAATATAAACAAAACAACCTAAGGTTTGCTTTCTGAAAAAATACGAGTTGTTAAGAAATATCTTCACTATCTCTTGTAAGTTCTCACTTAGAACTCTTAAGTGCTAATTGTTATGCAAAAAACTTAAAAAAATCAATAACTTTTTATATGCTATTTTAAAATTAAAATATTATATTATTTTATTTTTATCGTGTGCATTTGTATTTTTTTCAGTGGTCGAGATCAAATGCTCATCAAGTTGCTTTGAAGAACTTGGACATCCAGGCGTCTGGTCTCTACTCTTGTGAAGTATCACTCGAAACTCCCATCTACACAAAAGCATCCAGCGACCATGAACTGACTGTTATTAGTAAGTTAATATTACTCATAAATATTCTAGAATGTTTATTAATACATCAATCAATTAATTAATTATTATCAATTAAAAAAATTAATCAACATTTGAATATTTTTTATACGCGTAGACATTGAAAAAATCATGCGCTATATATGAATATAATAAATCGAACAATTAAAAAAGCATTCCGCTCAAGCGTATGGAATAATTATTTCCGATGATTTTGTAATTAATTTCCAATTACTTTTTGATATTTAGTAGCATATTTCGATACGGTCAATGGTTTTTGACAATTGTATTGCTTAATTTGTAGTATTTTAATAAATGATTTCACATTCATAAACTATGCAAATTATATATAATAACGTAATTTTCCATTACTAATTACATGTGAATCGTAATTACAAGCTTCTGCATTATATTTTTCTTTATAGGCGATAAGTTTATTCGTTTTCATATCACAAGTATTATGCTATTCTAAAAATTATAGTTTATGAAATATTTGTAATTTAACAATATGTGTGCATATTTTTTACTTCCTTTATTTACAAATAGATAATTGGAATTTAATAATTGATATTTTGCATAAAATATTGACAAGATAATGAACTTAAGTGAAGCTGTTTTACTTTTTAAATTAGAAAATTGAAAGTTCGAATATAGAGCTTTGAAACAAATTTATCTTTACCATACTTTCTATTCACCATTGGTATATAATTTAGTTTTTTTAAATTGTTCTACAAATCAAGTTTGCGATTTTGTTTTCGTGAATGTAAAATTTGCATTTCACTCACGTGTTCTTGGAAACGTAGAAAATATAAAAACCGTGTGATTTAAATCAATGATGATTCACATTGATCATTTTTGTTTGATGATTATTCGATCACTTCTTTGTAATTATCAATTAACATCAAAGAATTTCAATCTAGTTTTCTAACAAAATGCTTCACTGACGTGCGTTTTATAAATCCAAAAGTCGGTCGAAATATCAGGTAAAATCTAGTTTTATAGCTGTATATATAAGGTAAATAAAAAGGTCCACTACCATATATCTCAAATACAAGTAAATTTAAGAATTTTTTAACAAAAATATTTAGAACAAGTAGAAGGACGAAGTTGTATAACCATCATCTTGATTCTAGTCTACTAGTAATCTAAGTGGTTTGATTTTCACAAAATAATTACTTAAAGTCAATTGGACCTTTGTGCCCCGCTCTACTTTATATATATATATATATATATATATATATATATATAGATGTGTGTGTGTGTTCGTGTGTATGTTATTATTTATTCATTTATTCAAATTTCTACACATACTTCTACATTTGTATCATTTATATATACCTAAACCTGCTTTTTCATACTGCACCCTACTAATTATATACACTAAATATCCCTACATATTTCATTCTATTATTTTTTATATAATTGTCGTTTTTATTATAACACGCGCGTGACTTCAACGAATGATTTTGATGAAATATTCTTAGTTATAATGATATTGAAAAAAATATAATGATACTGAAAAAATATAATGATATTGAAAAAAATGTAATCAAATGTTGCTAAAAAAACAAACTTATACTTAGACCTTATTTGGTCCACATTGTTCATAAAATGGTATATACATTAAAAATATATGTATAACTACATATTTCATGCGTGAGATATAGCCCTTGGTAAATTTATATATTATACACATTCAATTACATAACATTATTGCACCTGAATAAACCGTAATAACATTTTCCTTACATACGTAAACTCTCTTACGGTACCATTTAAACTCGAAATACGAAAGTAATGGAGCCATAAAATCAGAAAGTTTGTTTCAAAATTTCTCCGAAACTGTTTTTAAGTGCTTGTCTTTTTACAACGTCGTAAATTACCAAACTCATTTCCTATTTTCCTGAAGAGTTTTTCATTTAAACTTCACTCTTTTCGCGAAAGATATACGCGCAATTTATCATAATATACGACAAGGCTAATTTTGAAATTGTTTTTCTGTGAATTTTTGGAAAGAAAAACGAGAAACTCATACGTTCGTCAGATTTATTTTATATGTGCTGGAACATAAATAACAAGTTTTAAATACAATCCAATTACAATGTCGCAGAGAATAACGGAAATATTATTATGGCTATTAGTTCTATTCTATATAAAAAAATGTAATATTAAACTCGTAACGTTAAATTTTTTTAAGGAATGTAGTTGCTATAATATAAATAGAGTCCAATCAAAAGATGTATGTTCATAAAATTGGGATTTTTAATTAGCAAAAGTTTATAATAGTGTGAGAGATTTTGCATTGCCATTTTGCACAGCAGTGCCCGAAATATTCAATTGGAAACATGGTTTTCAATCTCTATTTCATAATAGCCATTTTAGTAATCGAATAATTTTTCACAATGCTTTCAGTCAGTGAGTGTTTTTTTTTACTGAATTTCTAATCATATTTTTCTGGCCTTATAATAAAGCTTGAATTTAACTTGAAAAAAAAAGAGTGCGCGTAAGGTTCACACGCGATTGAAGTAAAACTTATTTGCCACTGTGCAAGATGGCATTCAAATAAAAATAAATACATCATATAACAATTTTGAATAATGTTTATTAGTAATATGGTAACACTCGTTGCACATATTTATTAATGTCAACCTATACACATTTATATAATGATGAATTATAAATTATATATTTATAATAGCATTAAAAATATTTATAATATTGAAAAACAATAATGTAATTAAAGTCATACTACAAATATGACATGATCGGTTTGTCATTGTAATTAGCATTTAGAAATGAACCTTCGTTAGAGAAATAAAGTAATTGCTGATTAATAAATTCTATAATATTCGTTCACACAATGGATTATGTTAAACAACGCATAAACAAATATTGTTTTCGCAACTTCACTCATCATATAATAATTGTGTTTGAAGAACTTCATGTAATCAAAATTAACATACATTTATTGACTGGCGGTATTTTTTTACTTTTTCGCTGGCGATATAATCTCATTCTTTAAACAGCTGTAATACCTGTTTTTCCTAAAAAATATTTTCCATTTTAATAACTTCAAAGATATATAGAAACTACGAATAATATAGATTTTTTTTCAATAAACTTATGTTTCATACACGGCATAAATGCTGCATTTGTTTTATTATTTTTATTATAATTATTTACGGGGGACAGGATAAAATATTCTTCTAATTCAGGCATTTTTCAATAAAATCAAGATGTTTATTTATCTATGCCGATTTCCTTGTTGATATCGGTACGCATACAACGTTGAGGCCTGCACGCATACAACGTTGATGCCGGTACGCATACAACGACAGATCTCTATTCACATACGCGACGACTAATCACAATCGACCCATATAGAAATGATATCATTGAGAGCGAATGACAAATCATTGGCACTCAACTCTTATCTTATCTTATCTGCCGTAACGCACTTCCGTTGTCTTTGTTCCGTTACATTTACACCCTAGTCGCGCTTAAAGAAGTTTTACTTAACAATTCATTTTTATTAAGGGTTTTCCAACTCTTTCATTTTTCCGATGCGCACGAACAGTACATAGTTGATTAATGGTTGTTCGCTGCTCTTTTCACTTATATACTACATTTGCAATCAGTTAGTTATTTTTCATACTAAGCATTTTATACTTGAAATATTTTTTATTATGAAACAACCTTTACCGGGTCATCTAGTATATATATGCAACGATTTTTTTCCTTTCAGTACCGCAGTCGGCCGCTCCGCGAATCACATTCGGCGCCCGTGAGTACACAGTGGGCGAATTGCTGGAAGCCAACTGCACGTCGGTGCCGGCCCACCCGCCTCCGCATATCACGTGGCTGATCAATGGCAAAAAGGTATTAAAGTCACATAGTTATCTTATTTTTAGTGTTATATTTCTCTTTGGTGTTCCCAATAAATTACGACTAAATATTCATTTGCATTCTGTAGAAGTGGGGTGTAATCAATCCGTCTTGAATTTAACTTGCAAAACTGTGAAACACTTTTATTACTTTGATTTCGCTTCTCACAAATAATTGACCAAGAATTTTTAAAATGTTGCATATGAATGTTGAATGTCGCATTCAACTTGCGAGTCTTTGCCTTTTGTAAAATCGTATGATAATTGTAATAAATGATATAAATCAATCAATCAAATCAATTTGATTTATTAAATATAAGTACATATGAGACCAAGTTTACCAATTTATACTTCTTATAATATATAATATATTGTGACATGGTACACATTGCGACTTGCAAGTAGATGATATTTCTTAAATTAATTATATTTTCATTTTGTCTGCAAGCCATTTTTATTTATGCAATATTATAATAAAAATAATATTATGGAATGAGCATTATTATTACAATTATATACTATATTTTTAATAATTTGATTAAATTAATGTCCGACTGGTATGCCTGAAATATTTGGATCGTGTCCCGGCACTGTCTATATAATAATAAATTGTAATACCGAATATGAAAACGTGGTAGTAATAATTGAATTTGATTCGAGTTAGCTTATATCAAGAATAATTTTATATAAAATTTTAATCAAACCAATTTGGTGCTATGGAATACAATTGTGGGGCAGTGCTCATAAGACCAATATAGAAATAATACAAAATTTTTGAACAATTGCCTTAGGAGCACCAAATTATATCCCGAACTGGCTAATTCATCTCGATACGAACACACCTACCAAAAAGATGTAACTAATCGTAAGTCTATATTTATGTAAGTCTACATAAATATAGAATCAAGCTTATCAGTCACTCAAATTCACTAGCAAACTCACAACAACTATTGAGTTGTTTTTCCAACATGCCGATTTACCGAAATAAATTCCTCGAATTTATTAAATGTTCTTAACTGGACAGTTGTAAATAAAATAGAGAATAAAAAAATCCTAGTTTGTTTAAAATCGAAGAAGTGTGTGAAAACGAAGTTAAATAGTGTTGGATATCCATTTAAGATATGAAAAACATGTGTAAAATAAGTAAAGACTATGTTCAAATTAAAATATAAACATTCAATAAAAAATATTTATGTTAATAATTAATCAATGGCACTTTGATCTTTCAAGGAGAACCTCAGATTTCTGGGATTTTGATGAAATTTTGCCTGGTGATACAGTTTATAGTCAAACCGAATCTTAAAATATTGAACAATGAAAAGAGGTTATATCAATTTTGGTTCGCAAAACTATATGAAATAACTTAATAATTATAAATGTTTCGCGATATGTATTCAAATATTATATATTCAAATATATATATATATATATATATATAAGATATATATATATAAAATATTATATATATAAGCTGATTTTAACTCGATCATTTTTACCTGTCTTATCTATGAATCCGATTTCCGCGCGGTTTATTCTTCGCAACTTTAATTAATTTTCATAATTAAACCACTTATATTTAACGGTGTTTAGTTTGACTATAAACTCTATCACCATGTGAAGTTTCATCAAAATTCCAGAAAAGTAAACTTGAGGTTTCCCTTGTTAGATTAATAAAGCAATAACAACTGTATAAAATTGGCAATTTTGTTATAATGATCAGCAGCTAATTTTTCGATAATAGATTACGAATAAACATTAAAAAAACTTCAAAAATAGTACCCATTTTTAATTTTTTTTGAATTTTTCACTTTTTCAAAGGTGGACGAAAAAATGACCCGGACCTTCCCACAGCCCATATCTCTTGGTCACGTCGGAAAGGCGGGAACTCCATTGCTGCACCACAATCCGCCGACGTCACCTCCTGCTCCGATGTACGATATTGCTCCACATTACGCGAAGCAGTTCGGCTATGGATATTACGCTCACAATGACGCTGATCCACTAAGATACCATGGCGAGAAGGGTGTGTTGTACACCCATACACAACATCACAGGTAAGCAAAATTTTATTTGAATTTTTTATTAGTTTTCAATTATTAATCTCATACGAATATGCCAATAGTATGTATAAACATAGGGATAAGGTTATTCCATTGTGCAATAGGTGCGGAATCTAATTGCTAGTAATATTTAATAACGTAGGAAATGAGTTGTGACCTGTAAATATATATTGGGTAGAGCGCCTGGATAAAAAGTTTTACCACCGAACAAGTATAGTTAGAAATTTTTTAAAAATAATATTTTAAAGTAGAGGGCAAAGCTATGTAACCATTATCGCTTTAAATCGGGTCGACTTTGCTACCATGAGATGAACTGCCACATTCTCAAATTTGTAACGAAAGTATTTTTAACTTCCCGTAGGGTAAGTTATAGTAATCGCAAAAAAATCAAAAATGAAAATTTTTATATATCTTTACGTTTCAGAGGTTTCTGAATATTTTGGCATACTTTAAAAAAAATGGATGTATGTTGGTGTGTGTGGTGTGTGTGGGTGTTGGTGTATGTATGTATGTATGTATGTATGTATGTATGTGTGTATGTATGTGCGGATACAAATTTTCGTCGACGATTTCGGGAACACGGATCAACCGATTTGAATAATTCAAAAAACATTCGATTCGTATTGATAAGGAGACGTGCTGATTAGTTTTTGGCGAAGGCAGGTCTAGCCGTTCCGAAGATACGGGGCAAAAAGTGCCGAAAACGGTAACTCAGTTTTTAAGAGAACGGAGCGTTCGATTTGAATAATTCAAAAAACATTTCACTTGTATTGACAAGATGAAGAATCGATAAAATTTTCATGATGGTAGGTCTAGCGGTTTCGGAGATATGGAGGAAAAAGTAAAAAAATGAGCCATTTGGCGGTCAAAAATGATCATTAGACATATGCACATCAAATTATCAGATATTTTATAGAGATTTTAACAATCAGTATACATTTTGTTAACATTCCTATGGGTTCCGTACCAATGCTTATGCGTTAGACAGCGACGCGGCGCTTACGCGTTTTATATTTTGTCCCTATGCAGTTAAAGCAGTACGATTGCTTTAAAAAAAAAGTTCAGTAATATGTCAAAATAAGAAAAAAACAATTTTTTTTCAAAAAAAAAAAAATAGAAAAAAAAAAATTTTTTTTTTTTTCAAAAAAAAAGTAATTTTTTGTCCAATTTATAGTTTCTCAAAAATCTTATTTTTTCAAAGTAAATTTTTTTCAAAAATGTTAATCGTTTTTAACAAAATAATAATTTTGGTACGGGAAGTTCCAGCAATTTGCCTTAAGGCACGATGCTTTAATTGCCTTAAGACAGAATTCCACTTACAGCTAGTTTATTTAGTTGTTAGCCTTTTTGTTTTTAAGCACGATTGTTTAGTTTACGATACCCCAATATAATTTCTAACTATACTTTATTTAATTGTTTTATGAGATGTATTGTTATTTTCAAATTGGATTTAACAGTTTTATTTTTATAACCCCTAGCTTATACATATGTAATTGGGGTAGAAAGGTCCACCTCAGCTTTTAAAAAATGCATTTTTAAAAGATAAATTAAATTAATAGTATTCTAGCTCTGATGATGTATCCTTCTGACAATGTTCCGTATGAAGATCCATAATGAAAATATGTGCTCATAAAATATGGATTTTAAAACAAAAGTTGTATTCACTTTATTTGTAATAATTGTATTTCAATATACAATGAGTCTGATTATGATAAATTAACCAGAAATACCTACTAAAGCAAGATTTATGATAGTAATAGTTGATAGTTTTTTGCTTATTAAGATTAAAAATACATATGTATCTAGATTATGATTCTTCATTTTATTGTTTTACCTAATAATTAAACTGCATCGCTTTGATTAAATAATGTAACTTGTATTCCATAAATCCCTTTTAAATTCAAAATGAAAGTGTTGATCTTTTTGCATTCTGTCTGTGCATCAGGACCAAGTGCGACCTTTTTAAAATAGCAGAGAAAAAAATTATAATATATTTGGTATTTGTTGTGATGTAATTGGTTTGGCTTTTACAACATAAATACTTGAAGTCAAAACAATTAGGGGCAAAACGTCTTCAAAATTAGTTTCAAAATACACCTGGTGGAAATACGTATGCAACAGCAATAACTATTACGATCAATAAAATCATCAATTATCGCAATTCGCCCATAATTACATCTGTACATAATTATGTATGATTACGTGTATATAATATAAACTACCTGTAGGGTAAGTTATAAAATCGCAAAACAATCGAAAATAATTTGTTTTATTTAAATACTCGTTTTAAAGGTTTCAAAGGTTTGTCGACGATTTTGTAAATACTGATTTGAAGTTTTTGAAAAATGTAAATTAATCATTAAATTTCTATGAAAGCAGGGAGATTCAATGATTTTTTTTAGAAAATTACCATTTGGCGTCAAAAATGATCATATTCATATGCACATCAAATTATTAGATATGTTATAACGATTTAACCGGTTGAAAGTGGCATTTAGCCTTAAGGCAAGTTGCATGAACTTCCCGAAATTTGCAAATAAGTTATCGCTATGAATTGATCTAAACATTGCTATTTCTAATTTATATCTTTCAGACACATTTATAATATCTGTAATTACATTTATAATATCTGTAACTCGTACTTGCATGTTCTAAAATTAGTAGCGCATATTTTAAATTTTAATGAATTGATAATGGACTCATAACATCACATAAGCAACTTTTGACACAAATTTTGACTATATTTTTTACAAACTAATTTTTTAAAATTAATCTACCTGCCATAGAACATAAAATTTTAGTATGTTTGTTCAAGACCATGATATCTATCAACATAAAAAGTTTCATAAAAAAATTATTTTTAATAGTTAATTAGGAAGTAACGGCTCGACCAATCTTTGGTCCAAAACTAATCAGCACGACTTCCAAATAAAATCCTTCGAGTAGCTTTTGAATTTTTTAAAATCGATTCAAAATTTTTGGCTAAAACGTGGACGAAATTTTTTTTCACTTTTCTGCTATTTTTGAAAAAACGTCTCGGCCGATCCTCGCGCAAATTGGTTAACGCTAGTCCTCATCAGAGATGCATCGAATGGCTTTTAAATTTTTTAAACGCAGTGCGATGCTTTGAAAAGAAGTTTAAAATCTTCAAAAATTATTTCAAACATTCTTAAAAATGTCAGTTCTTTCAAAAATTTCAGAATTTTCAAAAAAATTCAAATTTTTTAAATCGTATACTTTTTCGTACGGGAACTTCCAGCAATTTGCTTTAAGGGCACGATGTAATACCC